GGGACTCGGGAACCAACGTTGGGTTTCCGTACTCCAGCGTAGAATTTCGGATCCAAGCGCCGATACCTAATCATATTTTGGAAAACGTTTTTCAGTTCTTTCAAAAATGATATCATTTTCCTGAATTTAAACTTTGGTAGGAAAAAGTTTTTCATTAACTCATTTTCCTAAGCAAACCAAATATTTTTCCGCGAACCCTTAAAACAAGTTTTGCCCCCTCCCCCGAAAAAAGGAGGAGGAGAGAGAGAGAGAGATAAGAACAACCGATCACTCTCACTTCTTCGCAAAGTGATGAGTGGGTCGGCCAAAGAAATTGATAGTCACTATCCAGGGCTTATACACTGTTTCTTCATTCTCCATTGAAGGGATTGAATTTTCCTTGCTCCACTAAAGCTTTTCTAGAGGAAAAAACCCCATATGAATTGCATGCGTGTTGACCATCGACCAGCACTATCGTGTAATCTTCCCCATTCATGACCCTTTCGGGAAAGTGTCTCCATGTATCCTTTTCTTGATCATGACCCCTTACAAACTATTTTCACAAAAAAAGTTCAACTAAAGTGAACAGACGGAAATCATTATACTTCAACCCCTTCGGCTATACTAGCTGCCAACAATAGAACAACATAGAGATAATTACCAAAAAAAGTCATAAATACTATTGTACGAATGCCAATTCAGTCCCAAATATTTCAATTTGACCAATTGAGTCATAAACCTTTTGACGGTTTGTCAATATAGTCATTCCCGATAACTTTTGGCCGATGATTGTTGATGTGAATGTTGGTCGTTTTAATTAGCACAGTTGGCGCTGATGTAAACGATTATTTGAATTTTTTTATAAATATTTTGAATTTCTTTCTTTTTTTTCTTTTTCTTTCCTTTTCTTTCTTTTTTTTCCTTCTTCCATGGGCTCGCCCGCACTAGATTCGGTGAGGTTGAGCCTCGCCTGAAGCTGGCAAGGCTCGATCTCACCTCAAAGCGGCTGGCCATGGAAGAAGGGAAAAAAGAAAAAAAAGAAAGAAAAGAGAAAGGAAAAAAAACAGACATTCAAAAAAATTCAGAAAAGTTTAAAAAATTCAAAAAATTATCCACGTAATTGTCGGACATGTCACGTAGGACGGCTAGTATCCATGTCAACAATCGCCAAATAAAATTAATTGGGAATGACTACAATGGTAAATCGTCAAAAGGTTTACGATTTAAATGGTCAAATGAAAAGGTTTAAGACTGAATTGACATCCGTACAATAGAATTATGACTTTTTTGAAAATTTTATCAGACAAAATATCTGCATCATCTAAGATTAGATACGGTAAAGACAAGGATTTTTTAAAGTTGTTAGACGGAGTACCTTTTGAAGTACTCTCAACTACTCAAGAGTGGGCTTCCACTTTCCTTTAATGTTTTCTTGCATTTTAATTTTCTCTATATCCTTTTTTTTTGTTGCATATTTTAATTTCTTTGAAATTTTAATGAAGATCAACTTCTTAGTCCTCTACTTAAATTATGTCCAATGAATCATTATGCTCATTAAGAATCAATTTGTTGATTTAGGTGCGTATTGATTTGTACCGTCTATTAATATTTTGTGGTCTATATATACAACAAAAGTCTGAATCGATTGTCGAAAAATGAAACTTCATCTAATCCAATCGCAAAGTCATACTTGAACGGGAAAAAAAGACCATCATATGGTCATACATTATCTACACAATCATACAAGAGAATACACATAAAATCAATGAGTTTGATAAAAAAGTTACAATACACTATAGTTTTAGTAACTTCGATTTTCAGTAGCATGATTTTTCTACATTTATGTATTCAACTATATATTATGATGTATTCGAATAACATATGGACCCCTCATCCGAGACTTACATGGAAAACTTGCTAATATGCGCAACAACAATTCTTGAAGCTACTACATTCTTATTTAGGCAGCTTACATTAGATAGTGCACCATGACTAGATGACTATTCAAAAGCTCAGTTTTCAGTCCACTTTGGGAATATTTTCTTATTATTATACATGGATAAATCGAACATAAACCAAATCGAAATTATCAGTTCTACATTCGAAACCGAATCAAATAAGTCTTTCGTCTATGCATGTATGGTCTCCCTCCATTTAACGATTTAAATTTACGTCGACTTTCCAACCCTTTCAATGCTACACGAGTGTGCTTTATCTTAAACAATAAGAGGTTTGGCAAGGAAGCACCACGAGAACAACAAGAGGACAAAAAAAGGCAATGGCGTGCCTCGCTGACCCACCTCTTTCCCCCCTTCGAGAGGGAATTGGGCGCACGGTGTCTGAGAATTCTGCCCGAAAGTAGAGGAGATAATGTCAATTTTGTGGGAAAGGAAATCGTGCATTTTCTCTTACGTTGTGGTACGAGATCGGTAACGACACCGGAAATTGCTCGCCGAATCTATTACTTATATTAAACCGAATCTCCACGGTCGGCTAGGTCAGGACTTTGTGAAACACACATGGGAACCCACCATTGCATTCGTATAGAAACTTCTCGTAAAAAAAAAATTATGCACTCACAGAGAGTTTTCGATAATATCGGGAAAATTGTCCAAAAAGTATTAGACCTATTGCACTTTTGCTAATTTAGTCATAAACCTTTCAATTTTACTAATTGAGTCATAAACCTTTTCACATTTTGCCAATTGAATCCATCCGACTAATTTGGCTGGGACTGCTGACGTGGACGCCGGTAGTGCCACGTAGAACGGTCAATGCTGACGTGGATATTTTAAAATAAATTTTTAATAATTATTTTTGAAAATTTTTATAATTTTTCTGATTTTTTTTTCCTTTTCTTTTTGCTGGTGGCTGAGGAACTGCCACCAGCCATGAGCGGTGGCCGATGAGGGCTAGCCTTGCTAGATCTGGCGAGGCCGACCCTCGCCCAGGCCACGGTGGCCTCGCCAGACGTCGCCTTGGCCTAGGCAACACTGGGCGAGGCTGGCAAGGGTCGCTCTCGCCTCAATTGCCTGGGGGAGGGCGAGGGCGAGGGCTAGCCTCGTCGAATCTAGCTGGCGAGGCCGTCATGGCCTAGGCAAGGGTCGACTTTGCCAGCCATATCTAGCGAGGCTAGCCCTCGCCGGCCACCACCAATGACCAGTGTCGGTGGCCATTCCTCAGCCACTGAAAAAAAGAATAGGGAAAAAAAGAAAAGAAAAAAAAATTATTTAAAAATGTCCATGTCAGTATCGGCCGTCCTACGTAGTACTATCGGCGTGCATGTCAGCGATTTCCAATCAAAATTGATTGAATGAATTTAATTGGCAAAATGTGAAAATGTTTAGGACTCCATTGACAAAAGTGCAATAGATTTATAACTTTTTAGACAACTTTCCCCGTTAATATCCGGCTCATACTGGGTGAATGATAAGATGATTGACTATGGCGAAGGACACATGAGGCAGATCCTAATATCGTAAAGCCAAAGGAAAGTGCCAAATCCTTATATAGTGGGTGTGGTCGGTAATTGTTAATTTGAAAAGAAGCCAACCATCGGCCTTCCTCGTCTGGTGCACAACGACGTGAACCCACCATATTAGTCAAAGGTCAACCTCTAAAGTTTGGAGCTAGTTGAGCGGGTCCCCCCCACCGGATCTTAGCCAGTTCTCGCTGTTCGCAAGTGGGGTCTGCTCGGATTCCGTTTGCTTTGGGTGCGATCCTGGGACGTATGTGCATCGAGCTTGGCTTATTACATCAATAAGGAATGCGCATATCGCATACGCAATTGTTGCGCTAAAACTCGCCTGCCATTACTTCGCTCCCGAGCATAGCTATAGCATAGACAAGTGATGTAGGATAGCTTTAACACCGTGGGTGAATAACGGGTCATGCATATCGAACTTTATGCTGATACATATGTGACAAGAATCCTAATCGAGATTCTGACGGGAACGGGAGGATTCAATTCCTACATGGAGAGTGAAGAATAAAGCTCAAAGTTTGCATCTCGTATTATGTTAAAGATTGTCAACTTGGGTTGAGAAGATTCGTGTAGATAAGTTCAAGATGAAATTTTTAACAAATAAAACGATGTAACTCCAATATCTTCTTCTTTCTTAATAAGGTTGGGACCTTTAAATTTAGAGATGCATAGATTTACTTCTTCCCTCTCAATGGTTTGATTCTCATATCATGTTAAAGATTTTTAAATTGTGTTGAGAAAAATTATATAGACAAGTTCAAGATGAAACTTTTAATGGTCAGGAAGATCTATCTCCAGCATCTTTTTCTTTCATAATAAGATTCAGACCTTTACATTTAGAGATACATAAATTTAGTTTTCCCTTCTCAATAGTCGACAACGTCAAATATTAAATATATAGTAAAGGGTCCAAATTTAATCATCCTATCGCCAAAATATCATAACTTTAGTAAAATGCCTTCAAACTTTGCAAATCACACCCCAACACGAAATTAGTTTCTCTCTCTTCTCTCAGCTCCCCATCCGGCCTACCCAACACGACACCATCGCCGCCTTCGACGAACTCGACACTGGCCTCGATAACGTCCATCACTGGCCTCCTCTCTCTCTCTCTCTCTCTCTTTCTCTCTCCCTCTTTCTCTCTGCGTGCGTGTGTACATTAATTATCCTATTGACTCATGTAAATTGTCTTGATATCAAAGCTACTATTACGGTTCAAGGTTTGAACTTATAAGCTTTCATGATATTTCATGAGTCTCTAGATAGCCGGATTTCTAGATCTGTGATTATCAAAATTGGCCATCTACATGTGCATCTGTTTTTTGTTTACATCCAAGCAAGAGTTCACCCTTACTCACTTGCGAGGAATCAACAGTCCAGCTTACGCACCACCAAGAATCACAAAGGTGGGGTCCAAGATTAAACATTTTGAGCATTGCCCTTTTCAGTAATATTGTGATCCCTACAAGGGCAATCTTGCACTCATCCCCCTTTATAAAGCAACACTAACCCTTTAAAGTTCAACCCTTCACTTACAAAACTGTACCTTCGCGACTCCACAGTTTTGTGTTTCTTAAACCAACCAAGAACAAAAAAAAACCATGGGGAACTGCTTAGTTCTTGAAGAAAAGGTGATCAAGATCGTCAAAACCGACGGCAAAATCCTCGAGTACAAGTCGCCGTTGAGGGCTCGCCAAGTCCTCTCAGAGTTCGCCGCAGGCCACGCGATCTCGCAGACGTTTCCGGCCACGGCAGTCCTCGAGCCGGACTCAAGGCTGCTCCGTGGCCACGTGTACTACATCTTTCCTCTTGATCCGTCCACGACGTCAAAATTCGCCAAAACCAAGAACAAGAAGGTCAGGTTTGCTGATGATGATCACAAGGCGGTGGAAGAAGGCGGAGAGATAATTAAGGGTGGTGGATCATCGTCAGTTGTGAGGATAAAGGTGGTGATCAGCAAGAGAGAGCTGGCGGAGATGATTGCGAGGGGCGGAGTTTCGGTCGAGGATGAGATGATCAGTTCTCGGTTGATGCAGAGGGAAGAAAGAAGCACCAGCTTGGGAGGTGACGATGAAGATGACGATCTTTCAAGAAGTTGGAAGCCTGCATTAGAGAGTATACGTGAAGTCAACTAGCAAAACATAGCATGCTCTCTCTCTCTCTCTCTCTCTCTCTCTCTCTCTCTCTCACAAAGACACAAACACATGACACATGCCAGTGATTTTTGTTAGATGGAGAAATTATTGCATAGACTTGTTATGATTCTGAATCATCTCTCAAGTAGCTTGTTGAGGCCCCAAAAAAGAAGAGAAAAAAGAAGATTCAGCTGCTTAAAAGTGAGAAACAAGTCTATGTAATAAATTTTCTTCTGTGATTCAGAAAGAAACGAGAAACACTATCAATGAAAGACAAACAGCAAATACATGTACATTTATGAAACCCTCTTTCATGTGATTTACTTTAATTACCGTCGACAGATCATGATACATCATCGTGAATTCGAGTCAATTTGACTAATACTTTCGACTCCTAGATTTGAAAATATCCACGTTCGAAACATTCAACGCGAGTATCGCCGGCTCAAATTGGGTTTGGCGCTTGTCTTAAGAATCGATTTCTATAGGAACTCTCCCTTTGTAGATGTTATTTTCCTCATGTGATCCCTTTTTGCTGTTAAAAGGAAGAATTGGGAAGTCTATTCTTGTAACTGCATATGTCAGATCTTAGCAAAAATGTGGGGACGTGCAAGAAAAGGCTACGCTTGACAGTTTTGAGATGAAGTTATAGGAGAGCGCTTGAATCATGCACAACTCCAAGATCTTGAGTCATGACAACATAATAAAATAGTTAGGTTCCCTTTCCATGACGAATTTCATGAGGAGGATATGATCTCACGAAGCCACCAGGAAATTAACTCGGTGACAACAGGGTTCTCGTATCTAACAAAAAAATAAAAATAATAACAACAGGATTCTCGTACTTTTAGCTCAGGAAATCGATGGTTATGAATTTGATTCACAAGTGCTTTCCTCTTTCTTTATAGGATACATTCCCTCAAGTTCTTAGACTCATCTCGATCAGGCCCGTTCTGGCCATTCTCGCCCATATGGATCTAGAACTCTACCAAATGTTCAAACTTCATTTCTTAATGAGGATCTTGATGAAGAGATCTATATGGACCAACACCCATTGGCTTTGTGGCTTCGATGGACAAATCGAAAAGTATGCAAGCTAAAAGGAGAAATCTATGGCTTTGGGTAACTCAAATGTAAATGAGGAGCCATGACGGGTGATTTGCTGCGATAATCCCTCTTCATGTAGCTGGCCAATTACGGTCGTGACCTGAATCATAACATATAATGATCTAAAAAATAGAAAAGATAGAACAAACGTTCCTCCAATTTTGAATTTTCTACTGAATATATGAGTCACTTTCCACGGGCACTTGCGACGCAGGACCATTATCATTGCCTTCACCATACACACTAGCCTTATCACCAATGCAATGTAGTCATGCGACCATTATCATTGCCTTAATGGTGCGGCTAATCATGATCACTAGAAATCTCAACTAGTAATGCTGGCCTATCGAAGTGGATCGTATTAGGGGTGTGCAAAAAAATCGGGAACCGCCCGGAACCGGACCAGACCGGCCCGGAACCGGTGGTTCCTAAGGGAACTGGTCCGGTTCCCGGTTCCAATTTATTGGAACTGATGGGTACCGGTCCGGTTCCCGGTTCCAGGTGCAGACCCACCCACCCGCCCACCCGAATCGGACCGGACCGGTAATATTATAATATATTATCTATTTATTTAAATTTTAATTACAAAAAAATAGAAACCCTAAATCACTAAATGCTCAATACCCTCCCCTCACTCTCGCACAGTCGCACTTCTGGAATCTTCGTCAACAGAGAAACACTCTCTCACTCTCATTGTCTCCACTCCGACGCTCTATCTCGGCCTCGACTCACGGCCTCACTCTCTCACTCTTCTCGATCAATACTCTCTTGTCTCAAGCTCTCACCATCTCGTTCGCATCGTCTCCGTCTCCGACGCTCCGTTCACAACGCTCTGTCTCGGACGCTCCGTCTCCGACGCTCTGTTCACGGCGCTCCATCTCGGCCTCAACTCACGGCCTCGACTGTGGACTCCCACACGGCCGCGCCCTCTCAGTCGCCTCAATTGGCTAATTGCTGTAAGTTTGAATCCCTAATTTTTAATCTACTCGCTAAATCCCTTTGTCTCTTAAGTTGTTTGCATGATGCTGTGACGACAACATGAGATGCCTTTTTAATATTGACCGTTCTTACTCTTCTCCTTTGGCATTGACGGAGCATGTTTTTTAGCTACTATAACTTAACATGTTGTCATTCTGTTTCTGTTAATCTCAACATTTTACCTGATTAGACACATTCATCCGACACAACTTTGCTAGCTCAATGCCTACATTAATAGCAGAGCAGATGCTGATTTTTCTGTTGAACGGAGCCTTTCTTTTACTGCCGGAGTTTTATGTGCGGAGGCTGTGTCGCTTAATGCATATCTAATAGGAGATCGACATCCTCCAAATGCTTTTTTGGGGACTGCCGAGGAGCTCCGATTCTTAGAGGTTCAACCTAAGCATATTTAAGTATATGCGCTGACTGTGTTTCTTTGTAGCTGCACATCCTTTGCCGTAGGCCTCAGCTCGAAGTGTCAATCTATTATTACCTTATTTGAATCTTGGAGGTTTCTGTTGATTCTTCATGTGTCTTGGGTTCCAACTGCTGTTCCTAATGTAATCTCTATTAGCATGGTTGATTGACTGTGAAGAGCGCTTATTATGCTTCGGCAGAATGTTGCATTCTGCCATGAGAGATGGGATGAATATGATCCCTTACAAGTACATAGTCTGTAGACTCTGTAGGCATGGGTCTCAAATAATTTGATCTCTATTTGTTATTCTTTGTCTAAAACTTTTATCTGTTGATGACGCGTTACTTGATTCGAGCAGATGATCTACTAATATGTCGATGGAACTGGAGAACTCTTATGATGCGATAACGCCGATAATGGAATCAAAATCACCAGAACATGGAGACGGTGAAGATGATTTGGAAGAGGCATCTAACACAAATAAGGTATCTGGTTCTTTTCCTCCTCCTAGTAAGCGAAAATCAGCGGCCTGGCTTCATTTTCGTACAGGCACGACTGACGCGAATGGGAAACTTCAAGTTTTTTGCAATTATTGTGGGGCAAAGTATTCATACAGTGTTGAGAATGGTACTTCAAATATGTTGAAGCACTTGAGAAAGTGCGGTAAATATCCTCGCAATATTGATAAGAAGCAAAAATTGTTTGCTTCACATAGAGTAGATGGGACTCAAATGACAGGGGGAAATACTAGTACTGGGAGTGCTAGTGTTTTAACGACATGGAAGTTTGATCAAGAGAAATGTAGGCAAATGCTTGTTCGAATGATTGTAATTGATGAACAACCATTTTCATTGATTGAGCGTGTCGGATTTCGTGATTATATCAATCAATTACAACCTCTCTTCAAGCATATGTCGCGATTTACGGTGGCTAGGGATTGCATGAAGTTGTATTTTTGTGAAAAAAAAGTTTGAAGGCTTTCTTTCGTAAGCTTAATTCTAGGATCGTACTCACGACTGATACATGGAGTTCCATTCAGAATTTGAACTACTTGTGTCTCACTGCACACTTTATTGATGAAAACTGGAAATTGCACAAGAATTATCAATTTTGTAGTGATGCCTAGTCATAAGGGCAGAGATATTGGGAAAATGATTGAGAAATGCCTCTATGAGTGGGGAATAGAGAAAAAAGTGTCCACAATCACTGTGGATAATGCTAGTTCGTATGATGTTGCTATTAGTTATTTGAAAGAAAAATTTTCAAGAGATAGGCTATTGATCTTACATGGCGAAGTTCTACACATGAGGTGCATGGCTCATGTACTAAACTTGATTGTGAGGGATGGCTTGGCTGAGGTACATGACTCTATTGCACGTATCCGAAACGTGGTTAGGTATGTGAGAAGTTCCCCCATGAGAGCTAAAACATTTAAAGATTGCATTGAGAGTTCAAGGATTACTTATAAGGGTTCAGTTTGTCTTGATGTCTACACTAGGTGGAACTCCACTTATCTAATGCTAGACACTGCTATAAAGCTTAGAAAAGCTTTTGAAAGGATGGATGAAGAGGATATTTCTTTCTCAACTGAGCTTAACTCCGACACTCCAAATAGTGTTGATTGGGAAAATGCCATTATTCTTTCCCAATTTTTGAAGAGGTTTTATGATGCCACCAACAAGATGTCCGGGACTTTGTATGTCACTTCAAGTGACTATTTTGAGGGGATAGCTTCTTTGTATAATTATCTGAAAGAAGCGGCGAAGGCGATTCTAGGGTGAGAGTTATGGGTGCGAAAATGAAAGACAAGTTTGATAAATATTATGGGAGTTTTGAAAGAGTAAATTTGATGGTGTTGATTGCGGTGACATTGGATCCTAGAAAAAAGATGAATTATGTGAGATATTGTTGTAGACTCATTTATGATAATAGTGCGAAAGTTGATGAGATGTTTGATACAGTGAAGTTTTCCCTAGAACGTTTGTTTGAATTTTACAAGAAAGCTTCTCTTGGTTCTTGTGACAAAAATTGGGGAAATGAACTTGTGAGTTCTACTAGTACCGGTAGTAGTTGTGATCCTCATTACGACGAGGGAAATCAAGGGGTAGATTGCGGTTTGCATTTCTATGTGCAAGAGCCGTCCTATGAAGCCTTTCTTATCGAGGAGAAAAAAAAGTCCGAGGGCTCTTTATCTGAGCTCGATCGGTATCTTAAAGCTGAACTTGAAGAGGCTCGTGATCTTGACATTTTGATGTGGTGGAGCAATGTCGGCCGAAAGTTTAAAATCCTATCTTTGATGGCTCGAGATATTTTATCTATTCCTGTAACTACCGTTGCTTCAGAGTCGACTTTCAGTACTTCTGGTTGTGTTCTTGATGGCTTTCGAAGTTCTTTAACACCTAAAGTCGTAGAAGCTTTGATTTGCACTCAAGATTGGTTGAGAGCGGTTCTTGAGCCGATTAATATTGAAGAGTGCATCGAGAATGCAGAAAAGTTTGAGTTGGGTAAGTCCATATCTTTTCATCTTGTAATTCTTTCGTATATATAATGAGTGAATGATTTATTTACTATCTTTCTTTTTTGTTAGATATGGATCATGTTAATGCGGAGATTAACTCTACATAGAGTGTAAATTTGAAAGCATAATCCAAGGAAAATGGTAAAAACATGGGCTGAAAAGGAAATGAGAAATATGATGAGGTGAGTGCTGTTCTTTTACAGTTGAACAATTTCAACTTCTGTTATTTTTTTAGCAAAAATTGATGAACAATGTGGTGCCATCATTTGAATAATGCAGTACTTGTAATTCTTTTGCCTTGCATAATCTCCTTGTTTTACAAATATGGTTCTTCCAAGAGGTATTTCCATAACTGATGATTTTATTGTTGATGCATCCATAACTGATGATTCAGTGGATAGTTATTTGGGAGAGGTTTTTCCTTTATGACATTAATTTCACAATCTTATGCCAGCATTATCTTTAAAACTCTAGTCTGATCTTTCATTTAACACTTTGATTCCATTGCAGATTCAGCAAAGAATTTCGGCGAGAGGAAATGTTTTATCACCGGAAGATGAAATTGCGGACTCCGTTTTTATAGAAGTTATTAGACATCGGCATTTTCTCAACTATTGCATTATGCTTAACTCCTAAATTGTCAATTACATAACGGGATAGTTGTCAATATACACATGTGGGCTCGTCAATTCGATCTTTGGTGTGCTTGTCGAAAGCATGTAAAGTTCATGTTCTGGGCTATTTATCTGTGATTTTACTTTTGGATATGGTCATTTAAGGGATGAAAAAAGAAGGAAATTCCTACATTTACATACCTGGTGCAAAGTAGAAAAAGGGTGGTTTGTCACCGATGTGCACGTGCAGTGCTACTAGCACATGGTAGTTTAACTGGTAGTTCAACTTGAGACCGGTTCCATGGACCCGCCCAAGAACCGGACCGGACCGGCGGTCCGGTTCTCAGGCGGGTCCATGGAACCGACGGGCGGTTCTCGGTTCCAATTTTTGGAACCGGTCCTGTAGCGGGCGGTCCATGGTTCCGGGGTGGGAACCGCCCACCCGGACCATGCACACCCCTAGATCGCATGCATTTACTGAGGGCATGCTTGTTTTTTACTTATAATAAAAATGTACAAATGAGAAAGAATTATTTTCGAATAAAAACGTTCTGTCAATAGGAGAAAGAATTATTTTCGAATTTCCGATATTTCAAATATTATGATTCTGCATAACTTCGAATGTTAGTATTTACACCTTGCAAATCCTCGAGCCCTTCTATGGGTGACCATTCTTCAATCGGATCGGGAAGGTGGAGTTAGTCTAGTGTGAAAAGGACTCATTTAGGATAGGGCTAACCATTATAACAAAAAAAAAATCAGAACATCGATATGATATTAGATATTTCAGCTTTTAAGTGTTAAAAGCGATCTCTTCGTTCGTCTAATGCAAGAGAGGAGACGAATGAGGGAAGAAAGTGCAAAAAGGAATACTATCTACTGCTCTCTGTGCTTTTCGACACGTAAAGGAGGACAAAAAGGATGCTACTAAACCACCCGCCTTGGTGGCGCTGCTGGAGCGCGCACTCTTCCTCTCGCAAAAGGTTGAGTGTTCAAATCCCGGGTGCCGCAGGGTGACTTAACCGGTGCACGTGTGTGGTGGCTAGCACGTGCCGCCCCCAGGGTTTACCTCCTGGTTGTCGGCCGTGCGGGGATTCCCTGGGTCACCAAAAAAAAAAAAAGGATGCTACTAACGTTCACGCAATACAAGTTGGAAAGCAAAGGGTGTTATTTTTATTCTTTTTATAAATTCTACTTTTCAAGTCCTTTTGCATTCTCAAAATTTCTAATCAAGTCGTTTTAATACCAAATCCGATCAAATCTAGCTGACATGGCGTTTGAAGTGTGAAATGGGTAAAAATTTTCCAACATTGATGTTTACGTGGGCGTCCAGATCGGCTAAATTTTATCCAACATCATACTCCGATGTTGTCCACATTGGCTAAATTTTTCCATGGTAGCATACATGTAAGAGTCCAAATTGGCTAGATTTTATCCATATCATAGTCTGGCGTGGATAATTGACTGGTTTGGTGAGGGGAGTGACTTGATTAGAAAATCTGTGAAAATAGATGTACTTGATCAAGCAAATTAAAAGTACAGAAACTTGATTAGAAAATGGCATGAAAGTGAATATAAAAAGTAGAATTTGTTCTTTTATTTATTTTGGGAACAATCAGGAAAGAATATTTTGCCCTTGTCCAGGCAAGAGTTAGGTATGAGAACCTGTGATTGATGATAAAAAGAGATTATTTGTGTAAATTTTAAGAGAAATGACACTGCAAATATCTGAAGTTTTACTCGTTTTACAATTGAGCACCTAAGTTCTTTTAATTCAACTAAGTAGCTCAACTTTTCAAATTTGGCTCAACGGGTGGTCTCCGTTAAAATTGGGGACAGAAAACATCTAGCCGTTACCTATCCATATTGGCGTCCGATGTAACCTTTAAGATAATGAACGCCGACAAAAACATATTGGACGGCTAAGATCGTCCAAGTTAACATTTTATCTCCTTCCTGATCACTCACTTAAATGGAGATGGTATAGTTTTTTTTTAGGGTTAATACCACAAAAAATCTTAATTTGGTACACATGTGACAAATTTACTCTAAACTAATTTTTTACCATAAAAAACTCTAAATTTGTATATTTGTGATAAATTTACCCTCCGTTAAATTGAATTAATACCACGAAAAATCTCAAACTGATACACATTTGACAAACAGAGGGTAAAACCTTCAAACATGTGTCATCCAACTAAAAAATTTGACGGTAAAATTTAACGGAAACTAATGGAGGGCAAATTTGTCACAAGTGTACCGGTTTGGGGTTTTTGGCAGTTAAAAAATTAATTTATGGTAAATTTGTCACAGGTGTACCAGTTTGGAATTTTTCGTAGTATTAACCCCTTTTTTTTTTTTAAGTAAGCGAGCCATGTCAGCAATTATATTTAATCTTTGCCGAGCATGCGAGCTGCATCAACAAAATCACATGACATGCCAATTTATTTGAGGGAGGTCTCACATCGAGCCAAATTTAAATAGGTGAGGTACTTGATTAAAAAAGAAATTGCCCAGCAAAATCGCATGGCATACCAATTTATTTAAGGGAGGTCTCACATCAAGATAAATTTGAATAGCTGAGGTACCTGACTAAAAAAGAAAAAATGTCCAGTAATTAAGAGCTAGCTCGTTCTTGCCCGGTTCGTAGAGGACGAATTTGCTTTTCATGAACTGACGATCTGTTTTAGATTTGTGATTATTTTCCATCTTTAGACAAGATTACTAGATAGGATTATGAAGTATAGGTGCATCCTTCAGATCAACATGGACTTGTGATCTCTCTCTTCCTCTCTCTTCTCTGGTTTTTCTTCTGCTGAATCTTTCGCTTATTCCTCGTTCTTCATAAGTTCTTCAACCTCCATTCGCCATCAAATGATCACGCCATGTGCCATAAACCATGTCTACTAGATTCGATTGGGCACCATCCATGCATTCTGAGAGTTGAAACCTTATGAGATGCCTTTCTATTCCGCATGATGTATGTTGATGGTTGACTGTTATGATTGATGACTAGCTTTGTATACTTGTAGCATCAGTAATATACTCTAAATTAGAGAAATTGTAAACTAATCCATCTCGCTCTCCCTCGCTCTCCCTCGGTCATGTACCGTATAATTAAACTGGTCTTATTCAATAATTTACCAAACAATGTATAGGATATAAGAAAAATTATGTTATATTGCAATTCTTTCAGTGAGCAACTTCAACACTAAGCTGGCCAAGTATTCTTTCCGATTGGTCATGCTGTACTCATCGTTTCGCTCCCTAATCTCATTTTCTCAACTGAGTGCATGTAGAACAATCCTATCGGGCAACACTTTGTGATATTGACCGAATCAACTATTTCTCCGCTATGAATTGAGCGAAAGGAATTGCACTCGGTCAATTAGGAATAGATGGAGATACGGTTCACGATGGCTTAGGTCGCGAGACCGCGAAACTGTAAATTGAACTGTTGGCTTTAAACGGAATGAATCCTTGCGTGCCGCTGTCTACATAAGCTTCCTATCCAATTCCTTTCCATGCATGAGCTCGACACAACTTAGAAGCAGGGGCACAGATGCTTATCCTCGCTGTATGTAAGAGAAAGGGAGAGAGCTAGAGCTTCTCCATGTTATACAGGAAAGAAGTGGAAGAAGTACCATTTGTTAAAAAGGGTCAGAATCATCCTATGTAAGAGAGAGATTTTGGGTAATTGCATCTGATTGTAACAGCAGAACTCATGAAATTAGTCAGAATAACTCCCTTATATTCTCTCCTCCCTCCTCCTTTTACGTCCCTTCTTCTTCCACCTCTCGAATCAGTCCTATGCCCTTTGAATTTGATTCCTTCTATTGTGATTCTCTCTGTTTACACAAGGAACAACACACAACTCCCTCGATAGGAGGGCAAGTACAGGAAAGGTAGCAGGATATGCTGCTCAGAAATTCTCAGGGCTGTCATCCAACTGCTTCTCATCTTCTATGTCTACCTCCAAGATTTCCTAGCAACAGAACAACAACTGAACATCACCGAATGTTTACGCAAACAATTCTCTATCTTCGAGCGATTGTTTCTGGAGATAAATCTGACCATTGCATATGTCAGTCAGTTTTGAGAAGTAAAACCTTAGCGAAGTGACTTACTGGGATCCTCTGCTTCAGATAGTTCCCTACTCTGGCGAGGACCATGGACCGTTCATGCCAAAACCGGCCTTTGAGACTTATCTTCACAAAGGGTCCATCCAGGTCGGCGAGCTCGACTTGTCCTGCAGCACGATTGCTTCTAAAACTTCATGAAGAGGTGAAAGAGAAAAGAGACTCTTAACTGCAGGGTCGAAATTACCTGTCATGCCTACCGAAGTGTCGAAAATTTGAGCCAACTGCAAACAAACAGAGAGAGGGGGAGAAACCCCACGATCATCAGATTTCATTTTCTAGTCAATTCTGTTCAAACAATCTAATCAAGACTCCAAAATCAGCAATGCCAAGGATGCAAAGGAATACGGAATTTGATTGACTTCGCAGTCCGAACGAACTGGACTTTCTTTTCCATCCATCGAAATGCACGTCGCGTACCCGCATTGCTGATGCAAAAGACAATGAGCAGCAATGCCAGAGATACTAAACTAAGGTCGAACCAGCAAGATCACATCGAGGGTTTTAACAAGCTACACCATAGAAAGCATGGGCTTCGCTCATTAGTTCAGTATAGTATCATAGCACTACTTGGCGGAGCCCCGAAACTAAGTTTCAGAGCACACTGTCAAGCTAAAGGGTATTAATTTAAACTGATCCTAATTCCACCAAGAACGACGACCTGGATTACTTGCCTCGACCCGAGCGTCGGCCAAAACCAGCCGGATGTTTTCTTCGGTCAGATCAAGCGGCGGCGACGGAACTCCCGCTGCCGCCGCCGCCTGAACTGGCCGGGGACGGGGCGGCAACGACCTCGCGCTGCTTCGTAGTCTCAGTTTCGGAGGCCATATCGACGAACGGCAGTAGTTCCGAACAGTTCGCGGAGCGAGCGAGTCGCCGGAGGAGGATGCACGCCGACGAGCAGGGGAAAAAGAAAGTGGCGTCGATAAGCTACACCGACGAGGGTGAGCGACTTCCACCATCATCATCATCTTCTTCTTCTTCAGCGGTCACGCTCTAAAGTCTCTGCTTTCGCTTTGCCCGACCGAACCAACGAGGAAGGCGATAAGGCTAGACTCCTGTCCGACCAGTGTGTGTCGTGCTCGTGACCAATCATGAACCAAATTCTCCCTTTTATTTATATATAAAATACGGTGGCAATACTATCAAACGATATAAATATTTATTTTAAAATAAATAATTTTCAAACCATTTATTTTTCACGTAATAAATATAATTTTAATCGTTTTGAGCAAATTTGGAAGAGTTTCTTGTAAAGACAATTTGTATCCAACAATTTGACCTAACAATTAGGTAATTAGAGATCGGCGCCAATGTCGATGCAATCTTTCCATCTCTTCCTTTCTTATCTTCGTAAATGAAACATCCTCGAAGTCCGTTCGGTGACTCGCCCACGACTTCATCATTTGAGATTTCGAAGTATGAATCCTCCAGCATTGCTTTGGGTCGAGTTTGTGAAGCGCTCCATTCAAAAGGAATTCCTGATAAAAGGATCTTTAAATGAAATCCACGGTCGATACTTGAGAATGCTCGATACCTTACTAATGATGAGCATAATCCCTTTCATTCCGATCATTTTTAAGGGAGGAAAAGCAAGAAGAGTAGGTTCGGGACTCATGAGGCTTGGGTTGAAATAGGAGATAATTTTGGGGTGCGTTTGTTTCACAGACAACCCATTGGTCAAGGAAAAAAAACATTTTTCAGAAATATGATTAGTTTTTTTTTATTTTGTGATATATGATCGAAAAAGTTTTTTGATGCTTGGATTTCATCGGAAATAATTTCAATCTCATGACTTCATCTCAGGTAAAAAAAATCGAATTTTTAATTAAAAAAATTAAAAATTTTTTAATTTAAAAAAAATTAAATTTTTAATTATTTTAAATTTCTCAAACTTGAATTTATAATTATTTTTTTCTTTTTTCTCTTTTCTTTTTCTTTTTTTTTTCTTTTCTTTCCTTTTCTTTTTCCTTCTTCCTCCACCACGACCGCCTAACGACTGCCATAGGCGAGCTCGAGGCTCGCCTAGTGACGGCCACAAGTGAGCTCGAGCTCGCTCGGATCTGGTGAGCCTCGAGCAAGCTTCAACCTTGTTGGTCTAGGGTGAGGTCGAGGCGCGAGCTTAGCTTTGCCTGAGGTTGGCCGTTGCAGGTCCGCGCTTGTGGCTAGTTGCCGACCGTCGCAAAGACTAGCAACTAGTGGAGGGAATAAGAAGAAAAAATAAAAAGAAAAAGAAAGAAGAGAAAAGAAAAGAAAAGAAAATATAAAATATTAACAAATTCAAAATGAGCAATTCCGAAAAGTGTTTTCACCTTTTTAGATGAGGAATTTACTTTCCTACTTTTCTTAAAAGCAAATATTGAATGAACATTTGGCTATTCTTCAATAATGAAAAATAATTTTTTTTTCAAAATTTAGAAAAAGAAAATGTTGTTGTCAGGGGCGAGCAGTTTCAAGTTCCATACAGGTTTTACCTGAAATCTGGAACCTACCAATTGAAATAGATTTTTCATGTTTTGAAACGTGAAACCTACCATGCATACCTTGGAATCTGAAACCTACCATGTCACACGTTCTAGGGTCAGTTCCAGGGTCTACCCATGTTCTACTTGTATTATTAATTGAACACATTTAATGATCACCACTTACTACAACAATCCACTGACTACAACTTATATTTAGACACACGAAAAATATGAATCATTAACAAAGTAAAAGTCTCAGTTATATAATGAAAACTCAGATTAGTGATTCCAGATTATACACTCATCATCAAACGCCATGGAGCACCGCATGATTACACGAAGACATGAATTAAGAAAAACACAAAAACTTATTTTATGTTCCTAGTTCCACCTACCTAGAATATGGAACCTACTCTTCGAAACAAGTTTCCTAATTTTTGGAACTTTAAACCTATCCTGCATACCTTGGAACCTGGAACCAACAGGTTCCCACCAGTTCGGTTCTCAAGTTCCAAATTCTATCATAGTTCCTGAAGCCATACTCACCCCTAGTTGTTGCACTAGATGAATTTTCCCCGAGTGTATTTTCCGGTGATAAGTGGGTAGTTAATTTTTTCTTTTACCATTTTATCCTTTTCTTTGACCAATTTTATTTCTTCTTTTAAAGCGAAACTGCATTGCAGAAGAAGGTAATATCTAGATCTGGGCTAAATGGGAATTCAAAAGTGAGACACACTTTTGATGAATTATAAATATAGTTAGATAGATATTGCACTTCATATAGTCTCAACACATTTTTACGCAATTCACTATATATTTTAGTGTAAAGCACCATTTATCTTTATTACCTTATAGTTTTGTGAAATAATTTTATGTCATTTTTTTAGAAGAAATTCATGTTCTATGTATGGTGAGTTCCAGCTAGTTACACACGATTTGCTTTACATCATGGAAACAATATGTATAGTACATGGTGATTGGTGACCACTGAAGCCAATCCACGGAACAAATAATATTTCTCAAATGAGAGAATTATTTCATTTGAGTAAATTTAGAATATGTTTATGGTAGTTCTATTGTATACTATTTCATATGAATTTTTTTCTTTTGAACAAAATAAAGGTCGAATACTAATTAGTTTATGCTATCTATCAATTAAAATGTAGGGACTCGACATAAGTTAGAAAGTTCATAATGGTCGTTGTTATGTGACAGGGGGATATTTTACATGTAATTAACAACTCAATAGCAATATTGAGAAAAATATAATACAAATCTTTAAGGAAATACTTTTTTTTTTTAACCCAGGGAACCCCCGCACGGCCGACAGCCGGGGAGTAAACCCTGGGGGCGACACGTGCTAGCCACCACACACGTACCACCGGTTAAGTCACCCTGCGGCGCCCAGGATTCGAACACTCAACCTTTTGCGAGAGGAAGAGTGCGCGCTCCAGCAGCGCCACCCAGGCGTGTGGTTAATAAGAAGAATCACAAAAAAAGATGTTAGACGTCACAAAAATTATTACTTTGTAACTTCAGACGTCACGAAAATTATTTGCCTGTTTTGGTCGAACTCAAATCATGGTACTTAAAGAGGTAAGCACAAATTCTAGATGGAAGCAAAAAGCGGTGACCGCAAGAAAGGTACTCAATGCAAGGAGAATGATCAATCCCTTACAAATTATGCCAACAATATTTGAATAAACAAAACATATCATATTTCGAAATATTCGACTTGACTTACTACATATTTTCATTCGAGATGCGATGATTTAAGTCTGTTATTCGTACATCCACCCATAAAAGTTAATAGCGTTCACGACGTTCTCATTGGTTACGGTAAACAACGTGATAATATCATAAATAAATGAAAATAGTTAAATAGTTACTGTATGTATTTGGTAGTGATATGATTTGTGGAAGGGAGTCTTTTTACATGATTTGATACTTAAGAAAAAAATGGATGGTAATTGCTATAGAGTTGACGGGTTCTTAAATGGTAACTTCTAAAACTCATTTAATTTGATATGATTTCAAATGGATTGAGAATTGAGGGAAATAACGGATAACAATTGTTAATGATAAAATGAATTCTAATTTCCGTGATTTATTTTATAAGTAAATTACGAAAAATTATTGCGTGCATATTAATTTTTCTTCATGCAATACATAGTTCACCGGGGGCATTGTTTCGCTTATAGTAGTGTAGATATAGATAAATTAAAGGAGTGATATATCATTTTAGCCCTTGGTTAGTTTATCTTGGGGAGGCCCCATTTGGTTCAGCTTTGGAAATAGGCTTTCAGCCTCGAAAGCCCCTTCCCAAAATGCTGAACCAACGGTTCAGCATTCGGCCTAGCATTGGCCAAATGCTAGCATTTGGAATGATGAACCAAAATTTTTTGTCCCCAAACTACCCTCACTGATTTTGGCTTATTTCGATTTTGCCCCTCTTGGTACGGTTCATCTTCTTCGTGAGGTGGCCGGTGAGGGAGGCTGGCCAGGGCGGCCGACACCGGATCGGGCCGACGAGGTCACGCGACTTCAGGCAGCCGTCGCCTGGGTCGCACGACCCAGGCAACGGCCGCCTGAGGTCGCGCAACCCTCGCCGAGGGTCGCCCAACCTCGGTGACGACCGCCGGCGGCAGATCTAGCTCGCCGGGGGTCGCTCGACCTCGGGCGACGGCCACCGGTGCCAGATCTAGCTCGCCGGTGGCCGTAGGCCTTTGCCGACTCCGGCGAAGGGTAGGATAGGTTTTTTTTTTAATAAAAAAGATAATTCCCAAAGCCCTTTGGCAAAAAAAAATTTACCAAATACTACTTGGGACAAAGTAGCTTTACAAATGATTTTTTATCAAACGCCACTTGCATTTCCCCAAGGGACTTTAACCTAAAAGTATTTGCATTCCTCCAAGTAGCATTTTAAAAGTTGAACCAAACGGGCCCGGAGAAAGATAGTAGAAGTGCTAAAAGTTGTGTACGATGCTCACTTTAGTATCAAAATTATTTTTTTGGATCACTTAAGTGCCACTTTTTATAAAATGATCACTTAAGTGCCAACTTCAATCTGGTCGCCGGAAATCCGACTTGGCTATATTTTATTAATTTCTCAATCTTGCGTGGCTCGTCGGCATACCCAGTCAGTATATAACCCCTAAACGATGTCGTCTAAAAGTTGTAAATAGTAATCGTTTGAGTGCCAATTTTTTTTAAAGTGATCACTTCAGTGCCAGTCGTTGTTAAAAAGTGACCATTCAGTGCCAAGCATGAACCGGCACAAACAAGTGTTGGACTAGTTTTATGCTTGCATTAGTGCACAAACACGTGCTGGTGAGAGCACAAACCAACAGCATCAACCAACTGCACCTCCTCGTGTAGCTCTACCAATAAGCGCAACCGAGAACCCTTCTTGACAAGGTAATTTCATTCTTCTTTTTCCCGCCTTGTTCTGCATAAGCGTGAGATCAATTTCCGTCCATGATCCCCATGCGTCAATCAATGAAAATCTGAGTTGTTAGTTGATGATCGGTGGCGACATTGTTATTTTAAATACTGATTTTAGATATAAAACAATTTCAATTTCATGACTAAATCTAGTAATCTCTTTGCACACAGGTTGATTGTTGAAATGTTTCCACGAAATTGTGAAGCATACTCTAAGAGTCTTGCTTAAATCTGTTGGCTGAAGTGTTCATCGTATGTTCAAATCACAATAGAAACCTTAGATTCATTTACATCGCTTTTGTTTCGTGAGACTTGAATATGAAATCGAGAATAACACAAAGGAATAGGTTTGAGGGAAGACGGCCATGGATCGCGAGCTCAAACAGCAAAAGAAAAGATAGAAGAAAACAGGGGAATTGATTTTAGGGAAGAGCTTGAACAAGGCCATGGACGAGTGGGGGAGAGAGATTGAGCGAGGAGCAAAGTCAACACGGAGAAAGTCGTTCTGAGCTCGTTTGCCATTTTTTTTCCCCAAATTGACAAATTGGGGCTAAATTAGGGCATAAAAGCCAATCAAGCACCGGAATCATGTTGTCTTCACATTGCAATCCAAAATGGAGGATAGTTATTGATGTCCTTGATTGTTAACCCAATTTGTGAAGAAAATCAATTGGCTCCTTCATGACCTTGACCGGGACCCGAAAGCTCTAGCCCTTTGAGAACAATCCCAATCCCGTGAAGGAACTTGTAAACCCTAGCACAATTCTCCATCCTCTCGCTCTTCATCTTCGCCAAGCTGGGACGATAGTACAGGGACGAGGAGGAGTCCCTATCCATCCGGCCCCATCGAACCCTATTCGGCCTCATCGCGGTCGCATCGTCCAGCCTAGAGGACGAATTTTGCTCCGAGATGAAGGTCTTGAACTGCAAGATTTAGCAGTCGTAGCATCACCGCAAAGGGTGGTTCGATTGGCATGAGAACTTGAATAAGAGAGCGAAAGAGAAGGAGAGAGCGATAGAGAACGACGGAGAAAGAGAGAGTGCAGCGTCATTTTATGATTAAAGCCATCTCATCGTCCACGTGAACTTTCCTTTTTTTAATGGAAAAGTCACATAGGCATTAGCATTTAATTAAAAAAGCCACGTATTAATTTTGGCTGGAATATCTTGCCTTTGGCACTTTAGTAATCGTTTTTTTCTCTCTTTTGGCACTTGAGTGATTCGGCGAAAACTTTTGGCACTTCTAGTGCCATTCTCCCGTTTGTCTTATTTTAATGTAAGAATTAACATACGGGTTAAATGAAAATTTATTCACGTAATATATTTATAAATACTTTAAATTATGAAAAAAAATTATAATTGTAAGTTTAAGTGGATAATCTACAATTTAATATACTATTTATAATTATCATCTATGGAGTTTGGTGCTTGCCTATGGCCTAAAAAAAAGTTTGACGCTTGCTAGGGCCTCACTTTTTTAAAAAAAATCTCCAACCTTATGTTCAATCACAATTCTGTCATGAATTTTTTTTAATTGCTCTAGTCTCAAATCTGCCCACAGGTTCAAAAGTCGGCACCGGTTTATTCAGAATTAAGTTAGAGGTTTATTATCAGGATCGACATCTTTTATCACCACTTTCACCTTCATATGAATCAACGACCATCTCCTGATGTTATTTGAAGAAATCTATAGTGATTTGTGGAAGCATGGGCAGATTTGAGACTAGAGCGAAAGTTAAGAGAAATTTTCGATATAAAAAATAAAGTTGGGGACACAATTGAGATTAGACCTAAAATTGAGGGTTAATTAGGGAATTAGCCCTTGCCGGGGTTTTACTACAAGAGCGGCTACCATGGTCTAGGGTTCGAAACTCCTCAAGGAAATACAAGCCTCTGCTTTTTCCATCGCGGACGGAAGTTCGAAACTCCCCAATCTCACTTTCGCGCACCGATCACCATGGAAGCCGCTCGTAAACGGCGAGGAAGGAGAGAGCCACCGGCGCCGGCGGCCGATCCGAACGAGGACGGGAGCTCGATGCGAGCCGTCGAGCAAGACGCGACGCCGTTGCTGAAGTATCGCCGGAGCAATCCCGGGGTCCGCGTCTGGCCGTTCGATCGCTCCGTCGAGAATCACTTCAGGGCGGTGGACTTGGCCGCGGAGCTCTGCGGCGAAGCACGCGTCGGCGCTCTCGACGATGGCGAGGTCGCGAGGTTGGCCTCTTCGATCGCTTTCTCAAGGTGAGCAATTTGAAGTGATAGTGAGCTCTGATATCTTCGTGCTCATTTGCTGAATGTAAGAAGACGCTGTTACGGTCATGCGTTAGTAGAATCTCCCAATATTTCAGAGTGCTGTTGTTGCTGTAATTCGTAAGTTCTTTGCTTGTTAAGCAAGAGTCAGTTTCTCATTTTACGTGAGGAACTCTCTTACGCTTCAGAGCGGTGGACTTGATCGCGGAGCCTTGTGGCGAAGCGGACGTTGGCACTGTTGACGATGGTGAGGGTATTGTGAGGTTGTCTTCTTCAGTCACTATCTCGATCGATTTGAAGTGATAGTGAGCTGAATTTGAGCTTATTTGGCTCGTTCTTTGGTCGTTCGCTTGCTTGAGCTTTTTCCTTCATCCTCATTTGCTAAATTCTAAGCGCACATTGGTATGCTCATGCGTTTATGAAGTCAATTTTCAAGCTCTATTGGTGCTGTGATTTGTAAGTTAAAGCAAAAGTCAGTTTCTCAATTTACCTGAAGACCTTTCTTCCTCTGTTCGTGATATGTGAGTGTAGTGCTGCCAACGTGGAATGGAGATTCTTGAACTATGAACCAGGGGTTATCAAATTTGCTAAGGAAACACGGAGTTTGCAGGAACAGGATGCTGGCATTGAGGTAACCTTGCCACCTTTCTCGTCTGCAGCTGTTCCTCAGGTATTACACTGTTTAAAGCTTGATTATGCACCCTTTTTTTTTTTTTTTTTTTTTTTTGCATTTTCCCACTTCTATGGGTTTTCATTTTCATCTCGCGTTCCCCCTGAATGCATCCATATTGGAATAGATCATATCATTATCTTGGGATGAGGACACTAGAAGTGTCAAAATTATTGTACAATGTATAGTTTGATATCACAACCTTACGGATGATTTTGTTTTTCAAAAAAAAGGGGAACTTCACCAATGATCATTTTGGTTTCACAAATTTTTTCAAAAAGGTTGTTTCAGTGTCTCCAAAGACTTAGCTTCACCGGAGAATCCTAAGTGGTAATATTTTAGAATTAAATAAGGCCTTATGGCTTTTAAATGATTAAAACATCATATGAACTACTCAAATGATCTATTTTAAAATGATTTGAATTTTAATTGATCCCTCGAAAAGTTTTGGAATTGATAGTATCCAATGGATGCTATCCATTAACTATAGAGCAACACATTTTAATGGCGATTTCAAGCTATCTGGTGACCTGTTATTGTAGCACAAAGGTTTCCTCTACGATCAACCAACACAATATAATATTTCAACCGAAGATCATTATTTCTAAGATAAAAAGGAACTCTAGCTCTTAACAACGTCGTCGAGGGCATAAACTTACTCCATATTAAGGAATTTGGGCTAAATTGATTACCATATGCAACCCTAGCACTGGCATTAATTTCAGTTAAATCCTATTTTGTTGTTACATCTCAATTTCCTGCTAAAATCGTGATGTCAATCAGGAGCAAGAGGAGACAGAGTTGGGTTCCCATTCAAAAGAGAAAAATTACTTTCGTTATGGATTGGTCTCCGATAAGAGTAAAAGTTAGGATAAGTTGTTGATTATGATGGATGATTGAGTGAGAGGGGCTATTATTATTGGTTATAGGGACTCGGACCATGGCCGAACACTAGATTCGTCTACAAAATGAGAGGGGCAAAGTTGGCAGTTGGGGTTGTTTGAAACAATTTTGTTCGCCAGAATTGAAGTCCCTTTCTGTGGTTTTACAAAGCCTCTTAGTTTTTGAATTTCAATAGGGAGAGAAAACCAATCAAATTGTAGAATATTGTTTAGAGAGCTTCTCTAATATTTTCATATATCATGATTTTGATAGAAGTGGAATTCTCATCTTTGGCCCACGGACATACAGTAGTTGCTGAACAGCTTTAGTGCCTCTCTTTGCTCTATTTCTTGATCTTATGCGTCCAACTGTTGTATTATTTCCTGTTAAAACTTTTCAACCAATTTAGTCTCAATTCTTGAATTTGGGACAATTTTATGCCCTTGACGACTTTGCCCGTACATATTTGTTGGGCTCGGTTTCTTTTGTGCTAGAAATGCTATTTTTTGTTAGTATGTAATGTGACGAAGCTTTTGTGCAGTTGTTGGTCAATTGATAGTTTGAAGCTGCTAGTGTTCGTGGTGTTGTGTGTTTCTAGTAAATGGACACTAGAAGTTTCAAAACTTCTCAAACATTTGCTTAAGTTCCATAACTTTTTGAAGTAGATCATTTGAGTGTCTCTTTTGATGTTAAATTATTAGAAAAGTCGCATTCGACAATCCTATTCTTTAAATATTGTCACGTAGGATTCTCTGGAAGCTAAGTCGCTAGACACTCAAGCAACCAAAATGGTCGTTCCTAAGGTTTTGTTACCAAACTGTATAAAACTAAAATATTTTTGGCACTTCTAGTGGCTTATCCTCATTATCTGATTACAATCATTTCATTCTGATGGTGTGAACTGCAAACCTGATGCAGGATAATGGACCCCACGCAGGATGGAACAGGTGTTTCTATTGCATTTAAGCTTAAAAATATGGTATTCACACTGTATATGGAAGTTTACAAATATTCACTGTTGTAATCATGTTCTGTGTTGATCGGAATTTACATCTTTGTTGTTCTCTTATTTATACTTAATATATTGAGCATGCTTTGCACCAAACATTTTGTGCTTAAAGTAGGAGAAATATTCTGACCCCAAAAAGAGTAGGAGGAATATGTTCTGATGGTTGGTTTGGAAGCTTCACAATGTATAATAGATGTTACCAACCTCAAAGACCTCACAATATAATCTGCTTATACTTCACTGTATTATTTCGCAGCAAAGATTTTGTCGTTTATGTTGGAGGTTCAGTTTGGGCTCTGGATTGGTGTCCCAGAGTTTGCCACAGATCTGAATATCAGGCTAAAAATGAGGTACTTTCTCCCTCCGGTGAAGCATTAGTTGCAGGAGAGGGGGGGCGCATTGAGTGTGCATGCAGACATACGTATGAATCATATTATTGCGGGCAATTTATTTTCTCCACTTGCAGTAGAATTACTTTGAGATGTTTGTGGTCGATCAGAAAAATTTGGCAACAAGCTTGATGCTATTATGAGCGTGCAGGATCTCCTATAATGTCTTTCTTTAATTTTGATGTTGGCTCCTTTTTTCCTTCGAGTTTGGGATATAGAACATTCTATTCTAGGTGGTAAATGAAATTCCTTCTTCTCTGGATGATGGACCATTCAGCCTTCTTATTTCTTAGATTTGGTCGAGTGATTTCCTTTCCTCTTTTCCTCTCCCTTTTGGTGAAATAGCTGGATTGAGCCCTTTAATAATGCAAATATTACCCCTAACGAAGTAGCTTATTTCTCTGTCCGTTCTGCATTAAATTACGCACTTCATAGATTGAATGGAGGTTGAAGTAGATGCCCTGCCATTGATGTTAGTAATACCTAATTTCATGGTGTCATTTTTTGGCCTTATTACGATGAAAGCATTCTGCGCGCTATACCTACTTACAATGTCAAGATAAGATGTTTGAGCTTTTGAGGAATGAATAGAATTAGCTTTTATTCAACTTGTTTTGGTATGACTAACATGGATTAATCTAGTTGCCATGGCCCTCTTTTGTGTCCACTCTCTGCAATCTCCGATGCTTGTGCTGATTTCCCTATGCATAGGAAAACGTGACTCTAATTTTACATGTCGCCAGCATGATTGATTTTTAAAGGTCATCTTGCTTTCTCAGTTCATAGCTGTCGCTGCTCATCCTTGGGGATCTTCTCAGCACAAATTAGGTGCCCCACTTACTGGCAGAGGTGACATTCAAATATGGTCTCTTCTTAACGTATGTGGAGATGAGGAAGAGGCGTCTTTAGCGGAAAAGCCTAGACAAAGGCGTGTAAATTCACAATCCCTAAAAGAGAAATCATCTCAGCCCCCAAGACCTAAGGGAAGACCTAGAAAGAAGCCCTTAGAAAGACCTTCTGATGACTTGAATTGCAACAGTCAATTTGGTCAGGCTCTTGCAGGTGACTTTCTGGAGAAGACACCAGTATCATATACTTTAGATGGGGTTTCTGGGGTTCTCAGTGCCCAAGTTACAGGGAAAGATTCTGGCCAAAAACAAAGAAGTAGAGAAGCAGCAGGATCCCCAAATACTAGTAGAAGGTTAAATAATGTCGGTGGTGTGGAAAGCTGTCATGTCGATGAACCTGTGTCAATAATGACGGAAAATGAGGAAAGATTCTTGCCCTGTATAAATCAGCAAGGTCAATCTGACTTCAGAGAGTGTTCTGCAGCGAGTAATGCTGTTGGATGTAATAGCAGATCGAGCTCGGGTACTTTAATATCGGAGGATGTCGCCGCACCAAGGTTGGTGTTTTGCCTTGCTCACAGTGGTAAAGTTGCGTGGGACGTGAAATGGCGGCCATCTGATATGCATGAAACCAAATGCACACATCTGATGGGCTATCTGGCCGTTCTGCTGGGGAATGGGTCTCTAGAAGTGTAAGAGCTGTACATCTAAATTTATCCTTCTTCCATATACATATGTATGTCCTTTATCTATAGTGTTTTACTTTATGTGAATAACCATGTACCCGCCCCATTAAGGAGAAATCTAAGCTAATATCAGCGGAAAAATCACAAATGATCTAATTACTGTGATCGTAACACCTAAAAAACTGCTGGAGAATGTTCTTTGGTATCTTTACTTTCTTGTATAAGTCTGCAGTGTTATTGAAAGTGGTTTGTGAGAGTATGACACTATGATTTTGTCAACATGTGATTTAGATTCTGTTGACCAGTTGAACTCCAGCTGCAAGAGACTTGTTCAACATTTTCCATGCTGACATTGGGACACTATAGTTTTTCTGTCTTTCCTAAATAATAAATGTCTTGGGATAATCCTTCTTACAAGTTTTTCTAGGATACTATTTGGCCTATTTAATTCGAACCGGCTCTTTTTCGATTGAACTTTGTTTGAAATGGAAAAATATAGGTGGTATGGTATAGGCTATATTCCCTCACAGAAAAATAGTTCAGTGACAGAAGAACTGCACCTTTGTGGATGTTCAACGAGTGAGAGGAAATTATAGTTGTACCTTCGATTAATCTCACAATCTTGTTGTTTAAATAGATTGTTATATCTCACTATGTACAGCTTCTGTATTGTGTCTTAGATAATCTATGTTAATAAGTGGGAGAAAAGAAGTTTCTACATATTGAACCAGGAAGTTTTCTGCATCTAGTTATAATGATTCTCTGTTTCAAGTGCAGGTGGGAGGTTCCACTGCCTCAAACAGTGAAAGTTATTTATTCTCTTACTCAAAGGGAGGATACTGATCCTCGCTTTGTAAAACTGGAGCCAGTATTTAGATGCTCAACACTTAAATCTGGTGGCATACAGAGGTAATATATATGTTGATTGTAAAGCATTAGTGGAGTAATTACTCAATTGCTAAATGACAATATCTATTGAAGTGAAGATTTTGATTATTGTTGAATAATCTGGTTGGATTGCTACAAGAGTGAGGGACCAGATGATACCTTTTATCTGCCCCATTATAGTTTATTATGGTAGTTCTCATGATTTGATTCTTTTGGTTTGTGCTTTACCCTGTTTCTTGATGCCGTTGGTGTGTAGTCGGTTGATACATGGACTGAAGTGTCGTGTATAAATTATTGTTGTTACCCTACGATTTACGTAAACTTCTGATTTTCTTTTGTTTTAGAACTTCCATTCAGCCTGCAGCCTATATATAGTTAAGTTTGCATTCGTGGCATAATATAGTGTTGTTATGTGATACAGTGACTCAAGCCTTGTGCGGATTGGTGCTTTAATTAGATGAGGCAGAAAGTATCATATTGTAGCTTTGTCTTTTTAGAAGAATTATCTTAAGAGAGCTTATATATTATTCACACTAGAGTTAGATGTCCAAGGATTAGATAGGTTCAGGCATGGTGCTCATGTTTCCATCATTTATGTGCTGACTGTAACCTTTTCTATGCGCTGTTTTCTGTTTCAAGATCTTGCTAGTGGGGTGAGATGGGGACAGTTACGTCACAAATCCTAAACTCCATAATCTCAAATCTTTATTAGGGAAAAAGAGAACTTAAAGACAAAATCTGGCTAGGATATGATGTCTTGGTTCTTTTGTCATTTTTTGTCATTTGCATTAGTCTAAATTGCTTTGGCAGCCTCTTTGGGCCAAATCTACCTATACAATCCTGTAGTTCGCCTAGATTCTTTTCAACTATCTGGATTAGTCTTGATTCATCCATCACTTAATCATGTTACTTGGTTCTAGAGGCAGCTGCTAGCTTGAAGTCATGGACTTTTGCAGAACCCTACACTTACTAGAACACTCTGCACCGGTTTTATGTGTTTTTTCTAAAAAATGGTTGGTTCAATAAGTGGTAGCTCTAACAGTGAATTCTTTTTTATTCTTTGCACAGCATCCCGCTGTCTGTGGAATGGTCGACTGCTCACCCGCATGAATACTTGCTTGTCGGGTGCCATGATGGAACGGTATGCCTACTTATGTCATTATATAATGAATCTGTTTCCTTTCAGGTTATAGTTTGAATTCCTGTTTGAAAGTCTAATTTAATGTCTTCCCAGTGAAGTAAATACTTGAATTCATTTGACTCAATGTTTATTCCTTTTTTTCTTGTAATTAAATGAATGTTACTTTTCACCATTAGGCAAAATCTTCCACTTTCTTTCCTATTCAAATTTAATCACATAATTATAAGAATAATGCCAGTCTTTTTTATTTGGTATGACAAAATTTTTTATGTACTTTGGAGTTCCCTATGTCAATATAGATAATGAACACACTTTTTAAATTTTAAGAACATAGAATCATAGAATAATGATATTTTGTGTATTCGCTTCCTAATTCAAGTATGTTCGTTCCTTTTCAAAAGTGTCCAGAAACCTAGGAATGTTATGGCTTTTAGAGTTCCTAGTTTTTGAGCATTTGTAGAGAGTACGGACATATTCATGTATAATTTTCATTATCAAAGAGGAGATTACTTATGTAACTACAGTAATGCTATTGCTTTATCTTCTTTCCCAACGAAGAGCTTCAGCTCTCTCTTTCGTCATCTTTACTGTGAGTTAGCAATTTGTTGCACCACCTCATTGGTTCATTTTTCTCCTTCTGCAAAATTATTCTGGGAGGCTAGTATGAAATGACTGGACAAATATGAATCTTGATTTGATCCCTTGGTTTGTTAAAGATCTTTCAATTATTTTATGGTTTAGTAGAAAGTGTTTGCTACTTGAATTGCTTGGCCTACCATTGGGCCTCGCAGACCAAGCCTCGGCATAGAGACTTTCCATGCTTGAGGATATATTTTTCTCAAGGGGGCCCGCAGGGTTTTCTTTTGTTTTCTCTCATCTGGCTGGCCTGTGGTTCTGTCCCATTGGACCGATTCTCTGGCAAAGGTGCCGCCATTTATCCATCATTTAGAACTCTCATTATGGAACTTGAAGTAGCACATGGCTTGCAACAAGGAGGTTTACATCCTTCTAAGCAAGCCATTTCTAACTTATGTTTTTGGTTATTTGGATTTAATCACCTCTTTTTTCTTTGATTGAGCTGCTCATATTTATCTCAGTGCCGTTCTAGTTTATATTGTTTATTGAACTAAAAACTTGTGACATTCAGGTAGCTTTGTGGAAATTCTTTGCAAGTAATTCATCCAAAGGTAGTTGGCAATACGTCCGTCAGTTCCTTTCTGATTGTCAAACTTTTTGGTTCATTGGCAATTACATTTATTTTTTTAGAGTATTAATCAAATTTATGCTCTTGAATTGCAGATACAAGGCCTTTGCTTCGTTTCACTGCAGATACAGTTCCTGTCAGAGCAGTTGGTTGGGCCCCTTTTGGAAGGTGACTTTTACTTCCGTTGTATGTTTTTTGTTCCTTTCAGATTGTCATTAGGTAAATGTTAGGATGTCTTTTATTTGCTGCATAAAATTGTTGAACTTAAATAACTAAAACTCTAGTACTTTCTGTATGCAATGAAAAAAAAGGCTTTTAAGAGTGAACTTTGAATAATGCTAGACGTCTCATATTATTAGAGTTTTCCCCCAAACAAAAAGGCAAAAACAAAAGCAACAACAAGCCAGAAAGTTTAAGCTTGCTTTATTTGGGATGATATGGTGAAAACCATCTTTCTGCTGATGCAATTCCCTAGCTGGAAATGTGAAAAGGCAGACCATCTTTCCGCTGATGTAATTCCCTTGTTGGAAGGGTAACAAGGCAGAAATTTTTAGGTTTAGTTTTGATTATTATTGATCCTGAGAGGGTCAATCAGGCAGTGCATGGAAGATGCTACCTAGGAACATAAAGAATGACAGAATGTTCAAGATCGTCTGTTGACTCATACGGATGTTGTGTTCTCCACCTTGCCCAGGCTGCCAGTTAATTATGGACAAACCAAAACATAGTCAGAAGGATAAGAAGGCACAGCGATTGCCTTGCTTTTATAGAACCAGTAATCATGCTTCCAGCTCTCTGGAGACAGCATACCAAGGCCACAGTTATCCCTATTGTTGCAGCTGCCAAGTCCTTTGTTGTGCAATTTTGGGGCAACATAGATGATTCATTGAGAAAAGAGAAAGCCATTCTAATTGGAGATTATCTCCTACACTGATCCCTATTGTTACAACTTGAAAGTGACTATTTTGGGGTGTGTTGATGACTATTTGAGAAAAGAGAGCCATTCTACTTGGAGCTTATAGGTCCTCCAAAATGTTTATCCTAGTTGGGCTTGCCTCCCCTCATTTCTACTTCTAAATATTTTGTAGAATGACGAAACTGAGATGTATCCTGTATTTCCATTTCATTAGCCATTCTAGCTGGAGCTTAGGTCCTGCTTATGTCTAGTTGGTTTCACCTCTCCCTTTTTCTACTTTTAAACATTTGTAGAATGACGATATTTTGATGTGTTCATTTGTCTGCCAAGTCCATTTGGGGTGATCTGATATGGGAAATAGAGCTTTAGATCTGTCTTAACTGAAGCACCTCATAGTGTCAGGTCTATTGTTAATGATAAATGAGCCAATACTGGTATATAGATGGACTGGTTTGAGTACAACCTTTGCTTTCGAGCTTTACGATATCATATACTATGGGGGAATAAAGATATTGCAATTCCATTTTAATGTACAATTTCTTCATTTTATGAATGTGGATGAATTTTAACGGTGGATTCTCCTATTAGAATAGGTATGAATTACTGCATGTTATTTTTTTTGTCATTACGTTTGTGAATTCTAAATATATAATTTACTTAGTTTGACCTGGCTTTGTTGTATTTTAAATTTTAAATAAACAGATGTACTTGAAGTGAATTTTTTATTGGAATTTAAACATTCTGCAGTGATCTTGAGAGTGTAAATGTCATAGTCACTGCTGGACATGGAGGCATCAAGTTCTGGGACATGCGGTATGTTTGGTAACTTATTGTTGACTTCTATATAATCCATGTTAAAAGATTCCCCGTGTCCTAGAACAATTTCTAGAATGGTCGCTCTTCTGATGAATATGTACTTGCACGAGAACATTATAATTTATGTTGAGCTCTGATGAAGCTTAGAGAGGTAGTCGTGTCTACGCTAGAACTGTTTGTGTCTGTAGGGTAGGCTAAAGGCTTAACAACAATTAATCCAACTTATAAACTCTTCTGGTATTTAAGCATATTGAACTAATGAATACATTTCTAAATATTCTCTCATCGCAGAGATTGGCCATTATTGTTCAGACCTATCTAATAACTAAGCTTGTTAGTTTTTAGAAATAAAACTTCATCCTTATTTGATTGATCAGAAATACTACTTCTGTCTAAGGATGCAATATACACTACGACTGACGGACAAAATCCATTTGCTCATGGCTTTCATTAGACCCGTCAAAATGGGTAATAAACCCATATTTGATGGATTGGTTTGTTATATGGGTTAGTTATATTCAATAGATGGGTCATAAATAGGTTTTGAATGGTAAAGCCCAAAATAATATGGGTGTTAATAGGTCCACAACTTACTTAGACCCAACCACTTAATCTTGCACTCGCTTGCTCGCTCAGTGCTCTCACCTCAGTTTGGATATGAGTTTTACTAAATTGCTTTAAATATAGAAGTGATTTAGTAATATGGGTTGGGTCAGATTATGGGTCACTAGATTGGTATTACATGGAAATGGTCAATTTGGGTTGGACCATTTCTGACCCAACCCAACCCAAACCCGAACCGGCACGATCCACCTGCTTGATGGGTCTAGTTTTCGAAGACTTGCAGAAAGTATATGATAGGCTATTAGAAAGTCCGTTGGATGGTTTTGAATTGGAGAATGTGGTACATGTTTATTGTATATATAAAGCTGGTAGCGATCTGCGTACGCAGTTGAGAAAATTAACCAACGATGATAGATTACATCGAGGTTCAATAATAAGTCATTGTGTTTTTGTACTGGTCAGGAGTAAGGTCCTTGAAAAGTAATCGGGTGACATTTCATAGGGTATCCTTTTCCAATTGTACATTGCCAGTAGATGAAGATGGGGCGTGGATAAACACGATGCTTGAATTGTTGAGAGAAGTTTCAGATGCTAGGATTAATACAAGAAAAAAGCATTTTATATGATGGATACACCTCGTGGTAGTGATGACTTGGTATAACCGACCAATCACTATTGCCCGCGTGCTATGAATATTAGTCTACTTGGCATCATATGTGTGCATGTCATTTTTGATTGGTCGGTTACAACACGTCTTTGCAATGTGTGTCCTCATACAAAAATACCAAATAGAGTATTTTGATTATTTGTAAGGGAAGGAAGAGGTTCATATGAAACTGGGGTTGAGATTTGGAGTGAAAAATGTAATTATCTTGGATCAATTATCTTGATGGAACTACCATTAAAAAAAGGGAAAATCTCAATGGAAGTAACATAGACATAATCCAAGGGAAATGGACGAAGTTGAGAAGCATATCTAGTACTTTGCGCAATCGAGGGATGCCACTTGAGGGATAGCTAAGACCTAAAAAGACATTAATTAGAAGATTAAGGAAATAAATAGAGTACTTAGATCCTTCAGAAGTCTTGCTACAAAAACAGAATGAAATAACTTAAGGATTGAATTAGCTGATCTCACACACTGGGAAAAGGTTTGTTGTTGTTGTTGTAGTAGTATTATCGTTAGGCTTGTTCTTGTTGTTCTTGTTGTATTATTATTAAGGTTGTTGTTGTTGTAGTTATTGGATTAGAGAGGCTTTTGTAGTTTCCTTTTTTCATTTTTAAGAAATTATAATATGCATTCATGTCTGAAGCTTTGTGTGTGGTGAGGGAAAACATTCACACCTTACATTTCCTGATCAGTCAAACTGAACTGGCAAAATAGGAAAAAGCTTCAGGGGCAGGTATACTGGAGGGATGACAACAGTCAATTGAATGCGTGGATGTTCAATCAAGTTCTCACTCTAATGCCTAATATGCTAATTCAAGCATACTGTTTTTACCAGATTTTAATGTTGAGGCCAAGGTTCAGATTTTGATTGTAGTAAAAATGAGGAAACCGGGCTTGCAATGATAAATACAGAGTGGAGCCTGTTTGGAGATCCTTAGGATTTTGGTTGTGAGTTTCATACGAGCAGTGACTTTTAACTTGCCTTAGCTATGGTTCTTAAATTACAAGTTGGAAGGAGCAATGTGAAATTGTCATACTTCTGATTTTTCTACATATATGCAAAATTGTGTTGTAAGCCTACTCTTTGCACTTTAAAGGGCAACTTTGGCATCACTTGCAAATTTATTTTCAATTGCACCAAAATTCCATGACAATACAAGGGAGGTAGCTTTTTCATACTTGTAGTCTTGCCTTCTACCAGTGGGCTTTTGACTATTTATAATTAAAATAAATCACGAGGCCTACAAACCAGCAGCAGAACTGTGGGCCAAAAAGCACCCCGGCATTTAGTCTGATTGCAAGTGTTCTTGTGGTTCTGCTATGGTTATTGGTTATAGTATATCTGTTCATTCATATTTGTTAGTGACAGTAGATTATGTTACATGGTATACTTGATCAGTTACTCCTGGTTGTTGGCAGTGATCCATTTCATCCCTTGTGGCACATTCATTCGGCGCCGAGGAATATCCTTAGCCTTGATTGGCTGCCAGATCCTAGGTATCCTTGTTATCACACATGCTAAAGCATGTCTCGTAGCCTTGACAGTTTCGGTTGCAAGTGCTGAAGTATCAACCTTCGTTCTGTTTCAGATGTGTTCTTTTATCATTTGATGATGGAACAGTGAGATTTCTTAGCTTGTCAAGGTCTGCATATGATGGTCCTCTCACTGGAAAACCTCTCTGTGGCACGAAACAAGGGTTGCATACATTGTACTGTTCATCCTTTGCCATCTGGAGTGTTCACGTCTCAAGACATACTGGTATCTATCTTATAGTTGTTCAGATGTTTGAAGCTTATTCTTTATTGGGCATTTTCTTAAAAGGCATATAGCTGTTAATATAGTTTGTGCCTTTCCATTATATTATAGGGGGATTGATTAAATTTATTGTCCCAGCTCTATCATTTCACCCGAAACAAGAACAGTTCGCTGCAGCCTTGAATTTTATGTTACTACTATCTTCTTCTAGGGTTCGTACAAACTTAGATTGGCACTAAACTTACAACTAATCATTCCTGGATTTTAATTTGAATAATCAGGGATGGTTGCCTATAGTAGTGCTGATGGGAACGTTTGCCAATTCCAGGTCAGTTTGAATCTCCTCTGCAAAGTCTTGTTTAATTTTCCTTTAGCGAATGTTCTATTTAGATTGATGTTCCTGAAATCTTCTGTCATTTTTCTCTCATCATGTCTGATAATGGGATTCGAGGTGTCACGTTCAAGGCTTGTAGTGCACATTTGAACCACATGGGCATCCTGTGTCACAATCAAGGCTTGTGGGTCAACTGACCATTTACTGTGTGACCCGAACTACGATTAAAGGAGAGTATAGGCAAGATCCAAAACCAACAAAAGTAACCAGAATAACAAGCGATTCACACGGCATAGATGTATGATCCAAATAATTCTACTTGTATCGAATTCTTTCTCCTGCCTTTACAACATCGTATGGGAATTAGTTATCACAAATTAAGGTTGCAAGTGCTGCAAGGTTGAGCACGTTTTTACTAGCCTCGACCGTGACTCAGGATGCCCATATCACATGTTTTAACATTTTGTAGTGTAAAATGTTTATATGTGACAGTTCAGCAAAATCGTACACTGATTGTATTCTCTGTGATCAGCTCACCTCCAAGGCAGTGGACAAGGATCCATCACGACATCGGGCCCCACATTTCCTCTGTGCATCTGTCGCAGAGGGGGGTTCAGCCATTGTACTTAACATGTCGCCATCAGATACACCCATCACACTTGGAAAATCACTTAAGGGGACCCCAAGTTCTACACGCGAAATGTTATCTGCATCTCCCGAGGTGGAAGAAGCCATGGAAAATGAGGAGGAAGGACCAGCTCCAGATGAGCAAACACTAGGTATAAGGCTGACACTAGTAACATCTCATGAATCTTGATTGGAGAGCTTGCCTTTAAATACTAAAATGTTTCTTTTTCGGCAGCACTGTGCTATGGCGATGATCCAAGCGTGGAATCGGGATGGGAGGAGACATTGGCATCTTTCAAGAGCAAGAAGAACAAAAAGTCTGGAAAACTCAATAAGATTAAGCCTCGAGTCGAGATGCAGAAATACAAAGAGCCAGAGACGGCTCATGAGGGAGCACCAAAGGCGGTTACTTGGAGTGAGTTTGAGACTTTCCCTCCTAAGATTGTGGCGATGCACAGAGTGAGATGGAACATGAATAAAGGCAGCGAGAGATGGTTATGCTCCGGTGGTGCTGCCGGAATAGTAAGGTGTCAAGAGATAGATATGTCGAGTACAGATCGAAAGTCAAAACGGAAATGAGGAAACAGAGATTTTCACCAGCGTGGTAAATTTGAGGCTATATATTTAGTTTTCGGTCCTCATGCAAATATTTATATTGGGAATCAACCAGTAAGTTTCTGATGAGAACAATTCATGATGCAAAGGCGACGTGGGATATACCATGAACTAGGTCACCTCACGCTAGATGGAGATGCTTCTATATGGCCAGAAATTTTACTGTGACTAAACTACACCAATTCGAAAGACAACCAAATGTAGCACAGCGCCTTGTAACGCAATCTCGATCTACTTCTGGAGTACACAAAATCGTCGAATAAATGGAATATCCCTGCAGGCACGCCATGATTCAACCATGATACAAAATGCCCAATCCCTTCTGAAACAGGAAATGATACGAGAAGGTAGGCAGCATTCCTCCACGACGTCTGCCAAGCACAATTCATTATAAAGCCCGAGAGCTCCAAATGGTCAAAGACGAGGCAAGGGCGATCATTCTGGTAAAGCAATAAGCGCCCAAAGATTTGGGAATAAGGGCTAATAACTTCATATGCATGAAGAAAGTTACGCATCCGAGAGAACAAGCAGGCACTCGTGTTGACCCTCGCGAGCGCTCTATCCCTCTGGATATCGACGATTTGAAGATATTTTACGGGGGCGACAAAAGGTGGTGAATCCACCCCGCACGCTACATTGCCCCTTTTTTTATTTTCGAAATTTTTTTGGCTAAAATTGTCCCTGCACCTCGTATTTTTTCTTTTTCCTTTATTTAAAAAATGCGCCCGATATTAGGGGGGCCCACCGCGAACGGTGCGAGGACAAGAGGGTAATTGCGCGAGGCGCCATCGTCTTCCTCCGTAAATGCCCACCCACGGGCTCGAAGATAATAATTCCAAGACGCGAACGAAAACCTCCATTTTCCGAGCCACTCGAACCAGCAGAGCCACCAGCATCCACAGAGACCCGCCCGAAACTCGATGAACGAGGAAGACTCCCGTCGCCACCAAATCGAACCCTATCATCATCCGCAGCAATGAAATCGATGGGCTCCATCTCCACCTGCTTCGCCCTTGTGCCCCCCACCAGCTCTCGCTTCCACTCCGCCTCCCTCTCCCTCTCCCTCTCCCTCTCCCTCCGGCCGCCCCCCGCTTCTCGCTGCTTCTTCCCCCGGCGGAGGGCGGCGCCGGTGCCGGCCTCGGGTTTCGCCGGGGTCTCGCTCGGGGCCCGGGAATCCAGGGCCCCGCCGGCCCCCCCCGTGGTGCGGGCCGCCCTCGACGCGGCCGCCGCGAGCGTCCGGCCCGGGGGCGCCGTCGAGAGCGACCGGCTGCCGTCCGACGTGAGGAAGGGGGCGATGGAGGCGGTGGACCGGTGCGGCGGGAGGGTCACGATCGGGGACGTCGCGAGCCGGGCCGGGCTCAAGGTGGACGAGGCTCAGCGAGCGTTGCAGGCGCTGGCCGCCGACACCGATGGCTTCTTGGAGGTAGTTTCGGTCGTGCTCTAATTGCCAAGCCGCCTTTTCTTGAATGGCATTTGGTGGGCTGAGCGCCGTGCCATCTGTAAAGGCCTTACGAAACATGATGTGCAGTGTGCGTGTGGAAAGGTAACATTTTTAAGATAATGAATACGAGTGGAAGGCGAATCACGAGATGTTGGGTTTTAGCTGTCCGTGATGGCCGACCTGATCCAACCCCTTAGACTAATCTAAACGAGAAATGGTGGCAGCTTGAGTTTCCAAAAATTGCAGAAAGCTTTCCCATTATTGTGGTAATATAAAGAGAGATTTGGCTGTTAGAAAAAGGATGGGAAGGGCCACTTTTGAATTCATCTTTTGATGCTCTCCAGTATATCGGAGATGGTTGGCGAGTAGTACTGAATATGAGACATCAAAATGCGTGTGTGTTAGAGTGAGTAGCCATTTTGAATCATCCAAAATTCGCTCTAGAGCCTTGAGACCATGTAGGCGGTGCATAGTGGGTAACAACAACTTAGTTGCTGACTTTCTACTGTTAATTCACTGGCATATCCATGTCACAAGCATGTGGTTGGGAGTGTGATCAAGAAAAGTGAAACATTCACAGTGCCATCGAACGAATTTTCACATTCCAATTTCTTTGGCTTTTCTCAATATTAGTTTTTCCTGCGTGTATTCATGAGTTCCATCTACAACTTGATACTACTCCATTACGCTCCCTGGTCTTTTGCTACATGTTCTGTGGCTTTTGAGTTTGAAATTCACGAATGCATGTGGTGAGGAAACCATTCCGAAATCTTGCACAACACTAGTATTAGTAGAGTTAGTTGATGCTTTCTTTGGCTTACGACACTTGCAAGTAATGTGACCTAACTCGCCAAAGATACGACATTCATCTTTGCATGTCCTTTTTTTCCCCTTAATATTCTTGGTCATCCTACAATGAACGAACTTGATCTTCCTTTCTTGTGTATTGTCTTGGGCAATAGTTATGTGCTTAACAACTCTTTGTAGTATCCAAGAATGTCATTTATGACCCTTACAAGGGTGAAAAGCTAAAAGGTGATAACCGCAAAATTTGGCACTTCAAGGTTCATTACATCTTTAAGGAGCATGATTCGTTGGAAACACCAAATTATACCATGGTTGGTTTTGAAGAAAGGAATTTGCTCAAAACCACAGACGTAGGCTTATTGGACATGGAAAAAGAAGGATGCTGCAGCCGGAGCATTTTGATAGTTCTTTCGACGATCATCTTAGTTATGAATTTGATCAGTACTTTATAGCTTGTCAACTTTCAATTGTTCCTGAAGAGAAGTTTTGCGGACGTTAGAGACAAAACTTTGGGTAGCTGAAGAATTAACTATCAGGTTTAACACTCAGTAAAACCTCTCCAGCCATACTATAAAGGAGCATCAAAAGATGAAACAAGTTAACGTGAACTGATTATATTCTCGCTAATCCATAGTAGATCCGGGATGGTATCTGTTCTCTTCCCTTTGGATGGGAGCACATAAAGTTCATATGCAACACCAACCGATAGAATTATTGCCTCCGGTGATGTTGCTCTCTTTTTGATCTGGAGGAAGAGAGACCTGGCTTTGAAAAACCTTGATGATAAGCATTTGTTGTTGAAACTAGTTCACAAAGAATTTTGATCCTCTAAAGAAATATTCTAATCGTGATGGATTGTCGACCGCCATAGCCTATACAAAAGATTTCAAGTATCATTAAAAAAAAATAAGCTCATTCACTACGCATTCCATTTTCCAAGAGAAGTTATCGTAAGAAGGAGGTGATTCTGTTGTATATTTCTGTAGAAGATGGTTGTTGATCCCTGACTAAACCTATCTCTAGGTTTTCGTAGACTGTGATAAGTTTATAATTGGAAAGTGTTACCTAGCATCCTGGCACATGACTTTTGTATTGTTTCACGTGAAATTACAATTTATGATGCTGATGTTATACTATGCTTAGGAAATGCAAACATCTGTTATGTGTAGAGCACAAGAGATATATGATTGGCTCTCCCAGAGGAATAAGCACCTTTTGTGTTTAGACGTGCAAAGATGAGATAATTTAAGTATGACGTTGAATGAAGGGGTGATTTTCAACTTAATGCGGAAGCTTAAACATGTTATCTTGGTTAAAGCCGAGATGAGGCCAGTGAGTCGAACTTATTTAGTCCTGGTCAAGCCATTTAATTTCTTTGGCTTTCATGCTTTAACTTAGATCGACCAGACATACCTACAGTATAATGGAACACAGTAGATTAGCGAGATTAAAGTCCTTTTTATGTACTGGAGGAAATTGAAGTTGCTATCAGTGCAAATGTAAGACTCATTTTTCTGAAAAAGCATTGAGTTGAGAAAAATCATTGGAAATTGCTATTATTGACATTTTTATTGATTCTAGAGGTTCTTGCTTGAATAAACAGCGTAGATGAGTGTTTTTGAGGAGATACGTGGACGCTTATTATCTTTAAACAGTGATGTTACAATTTGGCATTTTGAAGTTCTTTCTCGAGTAAAATTGTTTCTTCAAGGTTGCTTCAACAGGTTTCAGATGAAGGCGACGTCTTGTATGTATTTTCGAAGGATTATCGCACAAAACTCACAACCAAATCATTTAGGATAAAAATTGAACCTTGGCTTGATAAAGCAAAGGTGCTGATTTCTTTTTGTCCTTTTCTTGTCCAAGCTTTCTCTCGGAAAACTCTGTCGATGTTTGCTCAACTTGAAATTCTTCTTGTAACAGGCTGCTGCTGAGTATATAGTGAGAGTTTCCTTTGGGACAGCCCTAATTGCTTCAATAGTTATTGTTTATACTACCATTATTGCTCTTATCTCAAGCAGAAGGTACCTTTTCGCAGTGATGTTTGACTTGGTATTCATTTTTATGTGTTTCTATAATTGGAAGTGCAAATAAACTCATAAAATTGTGCGTTTGAATTTTTACCTGACAGTGAGGAAGATAACAGAGGAAGACGTGGAGGCAGATCATATGACTCTGGGTTTACATTCTACTTGAGTCCAACTGATTTATTTTGGTATGTTGGTAGCTTTCCCTTACTGGTAGACAGTGTCACTTTTCTAGGTCGTCGATGGAGCTTGGATTGTGATTTTTTATTAATAAGATTGAATGGCACCTTTTGGTTTTGTTTAATTTAAAAACGTTGAGTCAGATTTTGCAATATGTTAAAGGCTTTGTGATTGACCTTTTTTGTTTTATTTAAGTAATCCATCGATAAGGAACCGAGTGGGCAAGTTCTCCTTTCTGCTGTCCAGATTATATGGTTGCATACATAGAAAATAAATTTGCTGATGTTCATTTTTCCAACCGACAATCTCCATCATTCAATTTGTAGATCTATGTTCTCTTTCCTCTATGAGATGCAATCCCATGTATATCTGAAGGAAAATAGTCTTCCATGTATGCACAATTACTTTGTCAATAGTTAGATTCATTTTAATGATTAGTTACTGTTGTTGTATAATGCATCAGATGCATAGTCAAATGTGTTTGATAAATAAGTTATAATTCTTGCACTATGCATTAGCTTCTCCTGGAGAAAGGTCTGATATCTTTCTAGATAATATGTTTTCTGCAGCTTAAATTTTGTGCTGCAAGATTACCGCTTAGATGTTTGGATGATGCAGGCACTTCATGTTTCTTAGTTAAAAATTTGGTATAAAAA